GGACCTGTTGCTCTCAGTGGCATCTATTGGACCTGTCCACGTGGATCCAGAGGTTCAAAATGAAGACAGGGCTGTGCTTAGGGTGAACAACAACGTGGGATCTGTCCCTGTGCATGGTTACACTCGGTTGGTTCTGGCGCTGTGGCTGCACCAGGGCATCTGGTGCATGGGACATGGGACCTGGGTGCCTGCTGTGGAAATGGAGTGATGGGAGGAGAAGCACACACATATATGTGCCCATCCACACCTGGCAAAGAGAACAGTGTTGTGGGACCTGGCCAGAGTCATACCCCAATGCACAGACAAGCAGGAACATTTCCCGCAGGAAGAGGTGGCTCTTATAGTGGGTGTGGGCAGAGAAGCAGTTGTGGAAACAAAAGACATACATACTTCTTTCCTTTTTTAATATAGTTCTTCCCCAAAGCAGGGCTAGCCCATTTTTATCTCACTGCCAGCTGTTTTGTTCTTTTTTTCCCCCAGGCTGGGCAAGGGTGTGGACAGCAGCAAACAACATTTTTTTTTTTTTAAGACAGTTTTTCATGGGAAGATGTTCCTCTGCCTGTGAGTGCTCAGCTTGGCTCTACCCAGATTTAAGCAGGAGGGATGAGCAATGCTCAGTGCAAACTCCATCTCCGTCCTTTGCCCACATCTTCTCCCGGGCCAAGTTGCTGCAGCTTGCAGGCAGCCAGCAGCCTGCAAAGCTGACAAACCAGTGCATGCTCTGCTCCCACCCATGACCACATTGCCTCCAAGGTGGGGACATCCTTGCTCAGAGGCTGGTCAACCTCAACACACAGAGAAGCTGGTGGGGATGGTGCCACCCAAACTGTCCACCACCCAGTCAGAGAGCAAGAAGCAGGAGGGATGCAGCTGCGGGGTGGGATGGAGTGGCAGCAGAAGAGGGTTTTCAGCCAGGCTGGTTGCTTGCAGGGCTTGTGGCTGGGGCTCCAAGGTGATCAAAGCTGGTGTATTTTTTTATATCAGTCTAGAGACTGGGAAATAAAGTTGACATATAAAAGGGCCCAACTGCACGATGTTTTATAATTTATCATGCCCCACCTTGGAAATAACAGAGATTAGTCATCATCCAGTGGAGCTGGAGACTGACTTGCCCACATGGCCCTAAGCCTCCACAATATTGCTGAGGTTCAGTTGCTTAAAATTAATGCCTTCGAAAGTCTCTCAGGTTAATGCCTACGGAATGTCCACGTTTCATTAAATTGTAGCCACTGGACATAAAGAGCTTTAAGTATTTCAATCTTGATTATAGATTCAGGAATTTTTAAATACCCCCAAGTTTTATTTTCAGGTGAAGTTTCAGGAGTGAGCTTGGCTGGAGGGAAGCTTTTGGCAGCCACTTACAGTAAGGCATTTACAGCCCAAAGGGGCTCAGTCTCAGACTTTCTGCTGGCTTCTATTGGAGGTTTCTTTTCTTGTACAAGGTGTTTTCCATGCACCTACCCTCTGCATGAGGCACCAGGTGCCTTGCTGGGCTATCATGACCCCTGCTAGCCACTGCTGCCCACACCTTGGTGCCTTCACTGCCACTGGCTCTTCACAGTCTGTTGCTGGATCCCTGATGATTGCAAAGTTCAAGCATTCATCTTCTCCTTAATGAAGTATCATTTCACCTGTATTGTCCTGAAATATTACTGAACTCCCTGTGCCGGGACATGCCTGCGGCAGACAGCAGGCTCCTCCAGTGCCCCCACAATCCACAGCAGCAGCCTTGTGCACGGGGCAACTAAACTTGGCTTGAGCCCACGTGAACATCAAAACAAAAGCAAAGCTCCTTGCTGGTAAAGATCCCCTGGCATTGAGTAACACCATGCAGGGCTTCCCTTTCAAAACCACGTCCGCACCCAAACACACACAAACACACAGAACCATGTCAGTTGTTGTTTTAAATACTTTTAAATTCCATTATGTTTCCTTTATGAGTTGTTTTCTTTTTTTTTTTTTTTCCTTATTGACTGTCATAAATCAAGCCTACTAATCCCACTCTACATGTATTATTATTAGGAGGGGCATGGCAGAGTGAACAAAGAACTAGGTCATGGCTCATCCATCTCCTTCTCCAAACAGGTCCTATTGCTGGTGATAGAACTGGGGAATGTATAAAAAATGGCCAACACCTAAGTGGGTTGTGCTTCTCTTTGGTGGCCAAGCTTTGGCTAAAGGAGCTCAGAGCCTGGAAGCCATGAAGTGTGCTCTGAAATGCACATCAGCTCTGTGCTCAGTGGTGAGACTACAGGCACTGCGTCCCTGGGGAGCTGCTTCATGCTGGGCCTTTGGGAAGCAGCAATTATCAGACTGGCAGGGCAAGAGAGGAATAGCAAAGTGAACCAATGTAGCAGGAAGTGTAAGTTCACCAGGTTGTCCCGGGGCATATTTGACCAAGGAGGAGTGTTATACATTCAGCTTTCTTTTTTGAAGGATACAGGTGCCCTGCAGGCAATCTGAATGTGACCCTGACAGCTCTGGCACATGCCAGGCCCCAACATCAAATCTCAGAGCTGAAATTCATTTCTCAGAGGCCAAGCCACCTCGGTGGCAACCCATCCCACTTGAATTCAAAAGAGACCAAAAACCTACATTATATTTTGGTGTGCATCTCAAAGAGCTCTGCTACTTGCTCCTGTGAGGCTACAGTGTGCCAATAAATCTGGCACCCACTTCTGCTGTTGCAGCAGAAGTACAAATCCACTTCTGAGCTAGACTTTGCCAGAGCAGAGAACAAACAAACTGGAAAAGTGCCTTTGGCTCACTACATTCCTGTGTCCTGGCTTCAGCCTGGCACAGGTCACCAGCAGGTCCCTGCAGCAGAGAAGTGTGGTGAGCAGCATGGCCAAGGCAGCCTTTTCCCTTCTTGGGAAATTGTTTGCAATTAAGTCTCAAAATGCTGCATCCCTCAGAGGCTGCTCCACAGTTCTGCACCAAAGGTCTTTGACCCCAAGTGTCTGTCATACCCTGTACATCCCAGCAGAGCACAGGGGCTGCAACGCCCTCTTCCTGCTCAGCAAACTGCCTGAAACATGTCCGTTGTATGTAAGTTACTAAACAGCTGGATACAGAGCAATGGAGATGGACAGGCACCCAAAAGCACATACACATTTAATTCTGTTCACACTGGTGTCTCTGACACTCCTCCAGCATGGGAGGGGTGGGGGCTGCTCCAAGGTCTGGGGCAGGAAATCCCAAAGGGACAGGTACAGTCACGAGGCAGACTCCAAATTCCCTAGTCTCTCCTAATAATTGACTAAAGAAAGACAAAAGCAAGCCCAGATGTATTCAGTTTATTTCCTCTGGATTTAGACACAGCTCTGGCTAACCACCACTGCACCAAACCAACCATGACCGGTGCCAGCCCCCCAACTCCTCACAGGAGGACCAGCTGGCAGGATCCCTGAAGCCCCAGGAGGTCTGGGGCTGCACTGAGAGGGCAGCTCTGCAGGATGCACTCGGGCAGATGTGGTTGTTGGGAGATGACAGCACAGACCCACACAGAAGGTGCACCATGTAGGAGTCAAGCCTTGGATGCAATAGCATAGTGCAGATGAGCACACAACGAAATGGGTGTCAGCTCTCCAACCTGAGAGCTACCCTCCCCTTCCTCCCCCCAGCTTTTCCTCTGGCTATTTTGAAAAGGGGCAGGGGGTTAAGCATTTACAGAAGAGGCTCTTTAGCAGGGAAGGGTTTTTGAAGGCAGAGACCTGTGGGCAGTTCTTTGAGGTGCCAACATGATGAATCTTTTCAACAGTCTATGATGAAGGGAGATAACCTCAAAGAAACAAACCATGCTGGTGACTCAGAAACACCCAGAACTTTGTACTCTGCAGATTCAGCATCGGAGGAGGTGCAGCAAATGACTCTTCGAGCATTTTCTAGGTAGTAATGGTGCCCTCTTCATAGTCTGGGCATTTGTTTTTCCAGATGCACTGAGCTCCCCTCTGTCTTGCCCAGGACCAGCTTTTAGGGAGGTATCCAGAAGGACCATCCTTGTCTACAACCTTGTAGCCTGTGACTGGACGGGAAGTGGGTGCTTCTGAGCCTGGAAGGTTTGGATAGGGACAAGCTACAGAAGCAAAGACAATTCTCTATTGCAGATTGTAAGTCCTGGAATGCCAAAGCTGGCAGAGGGAAGCAGAAAAGGACTGAGAAAGTGCCAATGCAGCACGGAGCTGAGCAAAGTTGCTCAAGGATGAGAACTTCAGCAAAGATCTCTGCAGTGTTTTCTGGAGACTCTGCATCCATGCAGTAAATTCAGCAGTAAAGATTGCTGCAACCTTCCTTCTAGGAAGTAGCACCATAAGCAGCTGTTGGATCAAAATAAAAGCTATCCCTTTGTCTGGGACATGGGCAATTCTGTGACTCAATGCTTGTTCTGATTGAGATAGAGGATGCTCTGATCCCACACACGAGAGTAAATTTAATGGTTGGAGAGGGATGATTTACTGGCTTAGCAGCAGTTACTTGCCTAGTAGATCTAGTCTAGTCTTCAGCTAGCACTTAGCAGGAGCAGGAAGACTGGTCCATTAGCACACCTGAGACATTTCTCTAGCAGATGCTAAAGAGAAGCAGCTATTTTCAGTTGAGGGAGAAAAAGAACAGGTCCTCCAAGGGAGTACAGCAGGCCTGAATGAGTCCTGAGAAGTGCTAGAGAAGAATAGGAAAGGCTGGAAGCAGAGTCAGCCCCACCAGGAGGTGCTGGCACAGGGATGAGGGTCTCAGCAAATGCTGTGCTAAACACAGAAGAGGCACTCCTGAAACTCCACAATCATATTAATCTGTTAATTTATACAGTGTCTCTGTACAAAAATAGAAGGGTTCTAATAAGATTAACAATATTAAATAAATATTTAATAGAAAAAGTCTTTGGCCTAGTTCATAGCTCATCCTTTGAGTTTATGTTCATTTCACTGGGTCCTAGATGCTCCTGGTCCAACATTGCGATCACTTCATCTGCCTGGATTCGCTCCTGCAAGAGTGGAATGGGAGAAACAGTAACAGCAGAGCTTCAGTGCCTGCTCTCAGCTAATTCAGTGTGGCTCAGCCTGCTGGGAGGACACACAGCGAGGATTTCACCCTAGAACCAGCAGTGTAGTTGAGAGGACGGGGGACTTGAGCTGGGGATTTGCTGGGCAAAATTAATCAAATCCATTTCCACCTCAACACCTGATTCCCTCTTCCCTTCAGGACTGCAGTAGTTGGGGCAGAGCTGATGTACTGCAGTTTCCTTATCACACTCCACTGGCAGACACTGCCACAGCATACCCTCCACCTGTCCCTTCCACATGATTTCAAGTTCCCTGGGCAGGGCTGATCTCCTACCATACAGGTGACAAGCACAGAGCATTTACCTCTAGAACAAAAAAGCTGAGAGACACCAAACTACATGACTGAAAATAAGCTTTTCCCTCACAGCCCACCTGCATCACAAGGCAAAGGCACCAGGGTTATGCACTCTCCCTGCATTTAGTTTTGCTTGGTGTTGTATCTTTTATTCTTGCAGAGCAGAACTGATACAAAAGGGAGATAGGAGCTAGTACATCAGCCTTTTAGAACAGAATCTGGAGGGTCCCTAGTGAAAGGCATCACAGCCCAGATCTTCCAAGGCATCTTGGGTGCCCAGACCCACAAACTTCAGGCTGACAAAATGTCTTTGAGGATTCAGCAGCAGCGACACACCACTGAGCTGTGGATGGCTCTGGAGGAGTTACCCGACCATCAGGCTATTACCACTAGGTGTCAGAAATGGCCAGCCCAGCCCTGCACGGAGCCCTTCCACACCTCACTCAGCAACCCAGCCAGCACTGCAAAGGGTAATGGGTGCCCAGGATCATGATTGGCAGGAAAAACAGTCCCGGGGATAGCAGCTCGTACGGTGGGAAGGCTGCTGTGGGGGTGTAATGGGGGGAAAACCGATGTGTTGGGACTGGAGAATAAGATGGTCCTGGTTCCTGTTGGATACTGAGTATTCCCTACTCCCCTCACATCACAAATTGAGGGACTCACCAGCTCTCTGTAGAGAGGGTCCAAGGTGAACCAGAGAGCCACGGCGCACCGCTGGCCTTTGGTGACTGCCTTCACCCCGTGGGGGTTCTCGCCGCCCGACGAGAAGCTGATCATTCGCCCACACTTGGGCTTGATGGAGGCCTGTGGGAAACAGGCAAAACCAGGGTAGCAAAGAGCATGAGCATGGCTGCACACACTGGTTGTGACTGGGCTCACCGTAGTCCAGGGCCTGGGACCTTACTGGGCATCTCTCTGTGTGGCCCCAGGACCTGGTGAGCTGCTGTGGAAGACATGCAGAGCTCTGGACATGGTTCAAAAAAATGTGTGGGGTAAATAGGGAGGTGTCAAGCTTGGTCATGCTACAGGTGACCACCTAGAGCAGAATGGGGCCATGACATAACTCCAAGGAGGTTCAGGCTAAGCCTGGCACAGCTGTGCAACGTCTCTTTCTTCTCTCTGCAGAGTCCACAAGAGGTATCCTGCAGAACCTCGGGGGCAGAAGTGCCAACCAAATCAACCCTCAGGCATTACATAAACACAGTCTACCCTCTAGCACCTACCAGACTCCAGAGCACCATCACGGTGCCCAGGCCTCTCTGTCCAACCCAGAGGGGGTTCCCAGCTTCCCTAATGGCCCTACACAGAGGTGAGGGCTTGTGCCTGAGCCACATCCCTCTTAGGGTCTTGTGTCCACCACCGTGAGCCACTCTAGCTCAAGAGACCCAAGTCAGGCACTGCATCTATATGGAGGCACCACTTCACGTTTGGCCACGAGATGGGGTGGGAGCTCAGCAGTCCTCCAGGCAGGGATGACTACCAGCCATCCCTCTGCCTGCGCTGGGATGGTGAGAACCCCGGATCTGTAGGTTTCCTGCTTGCCACAGGAAACCTGTAGAAAGTGAACAGAACGTCTGTGCACCTCTGCCAACAGGATTTTGTATGGGCTGTTTGCAAGGTAGGAGCCACAGGCTGCCTGGGGAAGAAGCCCCAGAGCCCCTGAGCATGGGCTGTCCCAGAGCAGCATTTGGTCCACAGCACCCCCTTACCGTCACAGTTTTGGCATCCATCTCGGTGAAAATGAACTCGCCGCCTTCAAAATCCGCGTTCATGTACAAGAGGGCACTGGGGGAGGAAACAGGAGACCTCTGTGACAGGAACAGTGGGGAGGGCTCAAGGCTGACCCCCGCCTCCAGGACACATCCCACATTGCTCCACTAAGACATGGGTGGGGATCACTCAAGCTACTCCAATTTCAGGGACACAGCTGAGAACCAGCAGAACTCTCCTTGGGTAGGGAGCAATTCCCCAACCTTCCCTGGGTCCCACCAGCTCTCACTCTCCCATTTTGCACCAAAAACATCTTACACAGTCCTGTGGGCCACAGCTGGGATCTCCCAACCCTAAAACATCACAGAGCTGTTGTAAGTAAACCATGGCATCAAGCTTAGCCACAATGCTTTCTGGCACCATAAACTACCTGCTGGATCCCACTTCTGCCATGGCTGCGATGTACTAGCTTTAAGCCTGTGAAGCAAGATACCCTGACTTGGAGAGGGTTCCTGGGTGCCCTAGGGAGCAGACCTCCTTTCCTTCCCTCTTACCTGTAATCCCTAAAGGTGTAGGCAGGAGGCTCCTTCCAGCACTCATTGGCTTCAGGGTCCAAAAGGCAGTTGTCAGCATGGATGGGGTGGCTCAGGTCATTCCTCCTCTCCTGCTGGCCTAGGCAGGACCATGTGGAGGAAGGGGGAAGGGGAAAGGGCAGATGAGATGGAAATGCCATGCTCTGTGAGGTCCATTATGGGGCGGGAGCCTGCCCAGACCCCACTCCGGGTGGTGTTCACAGATGAGAGGAGAAAAGCAAAGGCTGGGGAGAAAAGGCAACATCTGAGGACTCAGATCTGCACAGCTCTGCTTGTTCCTTACTGCAGGGAAGCAAAATGGAGAGCTGTGCATGGGGTGAAAAGGAGAAGGGACAGCGAGAGGAGGCAAGAGAAGAGGGAGGACAAAACAGGAAGAGTTGCAGACATGAAAACCAAGAGACATCCCAGAAATTAGCGTCTTTGGGACAGCAGTGCCCACCCTTTGCTGCTGTGGGGATGGTGACTTTGCCCAGCCCTTGGCCACCAGTTTAAGCATCACGCAAACCACAGTTAATCTCAGGCCTGGGACCCCCACTCATAGCACTCATAGCATTCAGCAGGGCTAAACCCCTCCCTTGTCCCCACCCTGCCCCACCACTGGCCCCTCAAGCCCTCACCAGAGAGGGCGGTGCGGCACACCAGGTGTGTGTAGGAGAAGTAGAGCGTGGAGTTCAGCATGAAGTAGGACTCGACGATCCTGCGAGCCTTCTCGCTGATGTCGTAGAAGAGCCGGGCACTCTTCAGTGGGACACGGCCCTCGTAGCCATACTGGGCAAGGAGAAGGGGCAACAGAGGTCAGTGCCATGTGTCCGCTGGGAGAGACAACATGGGAGAGGAGGAGGAGGAGGAGGAGGGAGCTCTACCTTGAGGGCTTTGAGGACGGTGGCTCCTTCAAATCTCTCATTTGGGGTGTGGGGGGAGGTTTTGCCCCTGTAACCATCTCCAGCCAACATGATGCCCTGAAAGACACAAATACACAACTGGTTCATCAGGAGAGGCGGAGCTGCAGTGGAAGCACCTGGCACCATCTTCCCCAAATTCCCCAGGGCTGCATTCACAGGGACAGGTGAGTTGGGTGGGAAGGTGCTGCAGCTTTCTATGAACATGGATGATGGATATCAGCCACCCACTCCTGATTGGAGATGTTCAGGCACCCTCAGTCCCTTCCCAGGCTCAGTTAATGGTGAATGAGAAGGCTCAACCAGACTTGTGGATGAGCATTCTCTGGGACTGTGCACAACATGGGGCAACGAGCTCTTTCTACACAGGCTCCATCTTGCAGCATGTTTCTAGGAACAGCCTGAGATGGAGCAGCAGCTCCTGTTATGGGTGTGCTATGTGATAAGTATCTGCCTGCTCTTCACAGGCATCCTGGCATCAGTTGCAACACACAAAAGCGAGGTATGAACCCAGAACCTCTCCAAGGGCTGGTCACACATTCAGCTATCACACGCCTGATGCTGGGGAGAGCATCAGACACAGCCCAGGTGGCAGCTGTGTCCCCCCAGGGGCATTGCCAACTCACACTGGCCACCCTGTGCAGCTCCCGGCACTGCTCCTCTGAGATGACGTTGTCCAGGAGCACTCGCTGGGTGCCATTCAGCTGCTCTGAGTTGTAGACGAACTTCACATCGTTGTAGAGAAGTGGGCCCCCTGATGAGAGACACAAAACAACCCTGCTGAACATGCCCTGGCCTTGTTGACATCTTGTACCGTGACTGAGGGCCAGCTGAAGTGACTCAGGTGTGCAGCCAGGGAAGGAGCTTCACAGCAGAGAGCAGGAGTTTGGCCTCCCATCAGCAACAAAAGAAACAGAAGCAATGGGAACACTCAGAGATGAAATCAATTTGCTGCAAAAACATCAGCATTTTCCACCTCCTCATCAGCTGCCTTGCAAACACAGGGACCCCAGCTTGAAAACGCCAGAACTTGATGGGACACAAAGAGAGACATGGACAGTGGCTAACTTGGCCCTCCTGCCCAGTTGTCCACATCATCAGAGGCCTTAATTTCCCTTGCACTTGGCGTGTGGATCTTGCTGGCTTGGTGTGCAAAGCCACTCTCTGCAATTGTCATCAATGGGGTTTTTGTCATTTACACACACAGAAAGCCTCATGGGTGCTGAGCTTGCAGCAAGCATTCCTTGTTCTCCTCCAAGAAGGGGGCTGAGAGTGGGTGAGCCAGAAGAGCCTGAGGACAATCCTCCACCGAGGTGAAGGAGCTGCCCTGGCTGACCCTGCCATCCCTCATATCCTGCCTCCTTCTGCCTGCCAGTAGCCAATGGCTTGGCTGCATTTTGGGGGTCCAGGTAACATCCCTGGAATGGGAATATAGCAGTGACTGGGCTTTCACACTGCTGAGCTCCCACCTGGTACGGGGCAACTGAGCCTTGCCACATGCTGAGGAAATGGGAGAGGAGAGAGATTAGCTCTTTACCAGAGGTTTTTCTCAACCCCCATAAAATTTGACTGATAAAAAACCAGGACAAAGCCTCTAAATCATCTCTAAATCTTCTGAAACTTCTTTCCTGCATCTCCTCGAAGAAATAAAATTAAATAAATGGTAACAATAAAAGCCTAAACAAGATTTTTCTCCAGGAGGAAGGTGAAATGCATCTAAACTGTGGGGAAAACTATGTGTTGTCACAGAGAGGCAATGAAATAGCAGAAACAGAGCCGTGGAGCTCCTCTCTCACCACTTGGCACAAAGGAACTTTTCTGTGACACTACTTTTATAATTTCTACTTTTCTTGTCTATTGAGGCACACTGTTTTTGGAATGTCTCCTTGGCCTATGGAGAACGCATAACCCCCACAGAGCCCTGCCACTATCCCAGTTTATTTCTGAAGAGTTAGGTTTCTTGGAAATGGAAAAGAAGGGATGTTTCTGATGTTCACTGTGCTGATCTTTTTGCTTGATAATAACATTTATTGCAAATGCAGCTGGATCAGAAACAAGACTCTCAAATCCAAACTCCTGGCACACTCCAACTCAGGCCTGAATTTTCCAGCTCAGATGTTGCTCTTCCCCAGCCATAGGCATGTGAGGGATGAACATGGAAGGCATCACTGACCACTTCCACCATTTTTTCTGTTTCTCACAGTAAACTAGCAGAGCTGGCTGTGTACACTGAACCCTTGTCCCATACCAGCGGCACACTCCCGCCTGCCTTCATTGCCCCCACTGCCTCTAAGGGTTAACAGAGAGAGACCTGTTCCTGTGTCTGTGCTCTGTGAAAAATACCCCAAAGAAACTGGGGAATTTTTTTTTACTTTTGGGAGTGAAGGAATTGGCAGAAAGGAAGAAGGAGGGAAGGAAAGCAGTACAGAAGAGTACAAAATTAAAATGCATTTTTTTCTTTTGGGTTATTCTTTTTCCAAGTAAAAAGAGAGAAAGAAAAAAGACAACAGAGAAAGGCAGCAGCTGGATGGACAAAAATCCCATTTTCTTTTTGAATGGTTTCAGTTCTCCTTGTAAACAAAAACATTCTGCAAGTAAACCAGAATACAAACATAGAAGAAAAAATAAAAAGCACTCTGAAATTACTTGGTTATAGAAGGCGACCAGGCCAACAAATATAATTCAACCAGCTCTTGGCTTATGCAAGCTGTTTGGGATCTTCCTGTGGTATTCACTTACTTTATGTAGGCTAGAGAAGGGATAACAACACTCTGAACACAACAGTGAGCAGCTGGAGACAACTTGGGCTGGGGAAACCTGTGAAATTCCCCAAAAAACACAACCATCTACTGCATTACAGGGAGGTTTAACTGCCTGCTGCTGTGTAGCTGGCTCGCTGGAGGCACAAGACACCTCTTGGCTTGAGACTCCGTTGTTTTGCAGCAAGAAGTCTGCTTTGGTGCTTGGCTACAATATTGTTATTCAAAATTGTTATGGGGAAAAAATCTTGTCATTAGTAGTAGATGTTATGGTATTTTCTGTGGTTGCTGAAAATGTGCTGAAATCAGTTGAATGTCTGCCAACAGGCTTAAAAACAAGTGATTTGCTATAAGCTAAGACCTGAAATCATAAACCAGTCTGCAAAGAGAAACGGCTGCTAACATGGTGTGATCCAGCACATTTTGCATCGCATCAGTCCTGTTGCCTCCAGAATCCATCCTTCTGCAGCCTTGACAATAGGGAACATGTTGTTGTTATAAGCATCTTGAGGCAAGACTACTGTTTGCTGGTGCCACTTTCCCCACAGTGAGGAAGACCCAGCCTCCCACATTCACATCTCAGGGCTCTGTCCTGAGCAGCTCAGCAGGTGGGAAAAGCAAGTCTAAGGGCAGAGCAGTGCTGGTGGGATCCACAGACCCAGAAATGCTGTGGCAGCACTGAAGAGTTCTCTGTCTCTTAAACTTCAACCCCTTCAAAGAGGAGTGCCCCTCATTGCTCAGCAGCCAGCCTTTGCAGTCCGCAGTCTGGAGCAATAGGAAAAAAGGTCCTGGTTTTGTTCATCACACTTACCCTCCTTCAACTCTCGATCTGGCTTTGGCATGGGTTTCTTTGCCAGGGACAGCCGGGGCCCATCCTCTGGTTCACTGCTGATACTTGATGGGACACTGAGGAGCAAGAGAAAAGAGGAACACCATGACTTTGGCCATAGGTCTCCAGTTCTTAGACTTGCACTTTTGCACTCTTTGCAAACTAACATATGAAAAAAAGGGGCAAATCAGTACTTTGTACAAATGTCACAACCATACAAGTTGAAGCCCTCACCCTGTTCTGTGGCAAACCTTGCTTCTCTGGTAGTGAGAACAGTTTCCACCAGCAAAGCACAAGACACCAACAAACCTGAACAGCACCTCTCGCCTCATCAACCAAGTTGCCTCCGGAGCATCGCTAGTTTTGAGGCACTCAGCTAAAATAAGGTCCTTGTGGGAATGTTTGCAATGGTAGGGGGCAAAGGTCCCTAATTCAACCATGATGGTGTGCTGGGGTGCGGATGGTCAGGACCCCCCGAGTGGCAGGCTGGTACCCCATCCACAGGCACTTCCCTTTCACCTCGCTGTGTGGAATGGTAAAGCCATGGGCTCAGCTGGAGCGGCTGGTGGCTCACCTGTGCTCATCCTGGCGGGCTCCATACCTGTTCCAGTAGTTCTGTGGGAAAAGAGAGAGGTCAAGTTTCTTAACTTAATGCTCCAGCTAAAGCCAGGGAGCTTCCTGCTCTACCTTGCACCCAGGAACAACAGCCAGCCTCTCTGGATCCATCCCACATAACTTTGGGCAATTGATTGAGGTGACCAGATTGAAAATGTAACCTCAAACCAAACTGGCACAGTAAGATGAGTTCATAGGGACTTCAACTTGCCCAGCTTTCTCTGTCTCAACCCATCACCACGGCAGTGGCTGAGACTCAGCCAGACACCATGGCAGGAGAGCTGGACTAGGCTGCATCTCCTCCACCCTGGAACAGCTGCCACCCTTGCTTTGCCATCACCGTTTTCCCATGGGGAGCAAATGAAGCCAAGATCCAGCTTCTGAGTCACAACACAGGACTGGCTTTATAGGAAAGAGGAGAGGGGAAGCTGGTCCTGTAGCTGTGAACTCCTAAAAGTCGTGGGCACAGAACACCCAGGCATTACCGGCTCTGTGTAGGCGTATCCAAGGCCGGCTGCAGCCACTTGCAAGAGGTGGGACTCCAGCTTATGGCGCTGCAGGAGTGTTTTTGCTTCCTGAAAAGAAAAGGAAAAGGAGAGTAGTTGGACATGCAGCTTCCATAAGACACAATGCACCTCTTCTTCAGAGGGGTTTGTTCTTCATGCCACACTGCAGATTCCTGTGGAGTAAGGGACGCTTGGAGTAACCCCGGGCACAGGGCTGAGCTCCTCAGAACATTAGAGAAGGGATATTCAGCAACTCATTCGAGAAATCTGAATCCCCAAAATACATGCCCATAGCTGGCAGAGAGGGCTAAACACCTTGGAGAGCATCCAAATATCTGGGCAAAAGGCTGGCCAGAGAAGCCCCAGCTGCAGAACAGGGTCAGGCTCAGGTTGGTGGAGCAGGGACCATGGCTGGGCTGTGCCTTGGCTCCTCATGTGCAATGTGGGGCCCAGGGCCTGGCTGTGGGTGGGTTACAGCAGCACGGCCTGGGATGCACTCAGGGTGCTTGGATGATGACCACAAAGCACAGCCAGTTGGAAATTATCCATCAGAGGGCTTTATTTTGAATGAAAAATTTGTAAACAAAACACTTGAGTTTCTCCTAGAAAATGAATTTGCAAAGCAAAAATCACTTTTTTTTTTTTTTTTTCAGAAAACTTCAAGTTACTGGAAATAATTAAATGGTTTTTTCAATGTTTTTTCCCAGATTTATTTTGTGAGGAAAAACAATAATTATTCTTGTTTTCTTTTTTGTAATTTCCCCTTTTTTTTAGCATTTTACCAAATTAACCTTGATTTGCCTGGAAATCAAAGAATACCCAAGAGAATGAAAAAAAAAAAATTCCTGCCTACCCTCTACTTATGGTGCAAGGGAAATGAGCCTCATCAGGGCTGTGATGGTATGGGAGGAACTTCTGCATCGTGAGAAAGGCAGCCCCATGGCCACAGATAAAGGCTGTCTGGACTGGAGAGGAAGCCTGTCCTGCTGGGTAACAACACACACTGTTTGGATGTTTGACCCCAGCCTAATCCTGTGATAGCAAAGCTACTCCCCACAGAACAGGCTGAGCCCTGAACTCCAAGCTAAAGGACTTGAGAGTAACACTGGCATCCCAGCCTCCCCTTGGGAAAATATTTCTCAGTCCTTGCTTAACAGAGGTTGGCCTTTGCTCAGTGCTTCACTGCATTCCTCCTCCCTGTCTCTTCTGGAGCACTGGACAAGATGAGGGTTTACATTGTTGAGGTACTTGCTCATCACCCTCCCTGCCCTTAGCCTTTGCTAAGCTGGAGTCCCATTTAAAGAAGATCCTGCCCACCAGCTTCTCCCCCACACCAGTGACTCTGGACTTGCACTCTGGTAATTAGCATCACCAGTGAGCCCAGCACTTCCACCTCTGTTTTCAAAGTGGTCCCACTACGGCTAAGCTGCCAAGCTGCTTTTATTTTCAACTGATGCTTTTGTTAAAGCCTCCCACGAAGAGCTCTTAGGTGTCACTCACTCTCACCTTTCTGGGTTTGATGGTGTTTGGATCCATTGCACCCTCCAACAGACCCTCGTAATAACCTGCGTTCTCCAAGACGTCTTCATCGTCGGGGTGGAAGAGGAGGTAGGATTTGGCACACTCCAGGGCTTTTACATAGTCACCAACTGGAAGGGAATACAACAGTAGTCAGGGGGGGCAAAGAGGGGCACAGCCCTACTGGCAGTGCCGGGGGCTCACACAGAGCACAGTGGGGCAGAGTCGAGGAGGAGAATCTGCAGGGAGGGAGGGCACAACCTGAGCTCCCCACCAGCTGAAGGGGCAGCCCGGCACTCTACAGGGCTCTTTTGATGCAACCTTGTCTTAAGCATTCCATTTCACCAGCAAGGAAACTGAGGCACAGAGACAAGACTTCTCTGCCCTCACGCACAGATCGGATGGTATCAAATTGGATCCAACTGGATGAGCAGGCTGTGGATGCTGTCTGGCATCAAACTGCCTCTCATCTGTGTGGCATCTCTCAGGGCTCAGGGGGGTTGTATCCACCACATTAAACCTCTAACTGGGCAGAGGAATTAAAAAGCTTGTACACCACACAAGAAACACTGCTGACTCCTCCTGCTTTCTTCCCACTGTGTTGATGAACGAAGAACCTTTTATGTTTGAGTAGCAATTTTGACCCTCACACATTCATTCTTTTTCAGGAAAAAGCTCTTAGCACAAGCCTGAGAGAGCAGAATTCTGACTACATTTTCTTTTATGTAACAGAACACAATAAAATAGCACACAGAGCAACTACACAGTTGGCAGCATTTTATAGCACTGCCAACTCCTAATGTTTTGCCATGCTTCCAGCTCCTTCACATTTACTAGGAATCTTAAAATACTTAGCAACTGGCAAAAATAGGCGTCTTGGGATAAGCTTGGGGTAACTCATATATCTGTTATATATTAACTTAGAAAATGTATCAGTTCATTTCAGAAAATGTGAAACACAGAACTTTGATGTCAAAAGGCAAATAAAAGAACCCTAAAAAAGTTAGATTTATTTAAAATATAGTAAAGTTGAACCTAAAGTACGGGCTTTTAAAACCTGACTGATGATCTAAAACACCTTTACAAAACTACCTGATTGCATTTCAGTAAACCTGACTTTTGAAGAGTCAATGTCCACTCTCCTTTGCTTCCTAACTCTTTCAGACCATGCCACTGCATCACTGTAGCACAGATATCGCGGGAAACAGCTTTACTTACACATGAAATAATTCAAACTTGTACAAAATTAACAAAACTCAGCAAGCACTATGAGGAACAATATAACAGCCTTTACCTCTGTAATAGGCAAACTGCAAGTAGTCATAATGGAGGGGAAGGAAATTTTCGATGGGTGAGATACGGCCCGAACGTGTGGCGAGTTCTCGGACGCAGTCATGTTTGCAGGCCAGGACTTGCATGTAATGATCTGCCAAGAAAAGAGGGAGAAGATGGTCTGAGCTGAGAGGGATGGTGATGGTGCTGAGACAAGGACAGACAGAAGTTAAAACTCCCCCACTAAAGGACATGCAACTCATGCTGCTCTGGTCCAGCAGGTGACTGTGCACCCATAGAAAGAGCTTAGGCTCCTTCCCAAAGACAATGGAGAGTTGGAGTCACAATTTTGCCCCTCTTTACAAATGCCTTCCTCCTTCTGTCAGCTCTAGAGGGAGCCTGAGCATCTCTTTTGTGTGCTGGGAGCTGCTGCAGGGTGCAGGGATGTGCAGGTGCCAGGTACCTCTTCAACTCCAAGCCAAACCAAAGGTGAGGACACCAATAAAGCAAGTGGATGTGTGAAGACAAGGCGGCCATATGTGCTGCCAAATGAAATCCATCTCCAGACTCCTTTCCTTCAGCTCATCTTTAATCCTCTCCTTTCAGCAGCAAGAAAGCTCCTGAGGGCACAGGGAGGTTTAGCTACAAAGGGTTGCTGCAGATTCTCAAGTGTGGCCGAGCAAGGCACCTGCACCTCCACTCTGAATGGTCTGAGGTGCAAGTATGGGCAGCAGAAATCCCCATGTTTGCTGCTTCTCAAAGATGAGCTATCTCCCAGGGAATCACAAGCACATGGTAAACATCTGCAATTAGCAAAGTTTCTTAATTGGTGGGAATTCACAATATAGGCATTGTACCAGCTGTACGATTTCAAAGCAAACACTGACATCTGATTCCAGTTTAGAGCCTTTGCTGCAGTGTACTTACAAATCTACTTTGCTTGCTCTGTCTCCATGCACCATTAAAAACCTTAAGGAACAAACACAGGCTTGAAAACAACCATGTGCTCAGCTACCAAAGCATTTCTCAGGGCTGCCAAAAAAACAGCCTGAGGAATTCGCAATGAAATCAAGTGGAAACTCAAAACAGTCCCCATTTGCTCTGGACAGGTAGTCTGAGCAGTCATCTGACTTAGCGTACACATCCAGGGTATTATATTATGAAAAGCAAGAAGGGAAATGACATAAATAATATTGTTATAATTTGAACCTATTTAAGCACCCTAGACCTGAAATAGTAAATCTATCACTGAGAAGCACTGCTTTTTCTTGGTACTGTCAAAAGTGCAAGCTATATAGACTGGAATCAATCCTCTGGGGTGGCGGGAGAAGTGAGAGTGTTTCAACCCCAAGCAGCAGCACAGCAAATCAGTTTGGGATTGAAAAGAGAAATAAGTTTTGAAGAAACCTCAACTCTCTTTTTTTTGGTGCACAGTGTTCCTACTCCCTGTTGAAACATCTGGGCCTGAGTGCCTTGGATCCCAGAGTGAACTCTGCATCATGCTATCCTGTAAGGAACCACTTAGTTCCCTACAGAAAAGCAGTCATATCACAAATCTTATTTCTTTCTGTGTGCCCAGAATTCCCAGTTTCTTTGGATACATGAATGGTCCTGGAGTTTGGAGTTGTTTACCCAGGCATATCTGTTCAAGACACAGTACTTGCAGGGACCATCTGGTTTCTTCTCACTCCCAGGTGATGTTTTGGGTTAAGGACCACCACATCATAACCTTGTCTGTGCTTCAGATGGGCCAGCACAGAAACATCTCTGCTCACTGGGGCTGCACTCAACTTGCACAGCACAGGAACAATTTATCAGAGACCAAAACCTGTTTGAAGAGCAGCAGCGCTCAGTGAGAAGGAAAGCGGGTTCTCTTTGCCAGTGAAGGTTGCTTTCTTGATGTGGCCCCTGGTGCCCTGGTCATGCTCTAAAAGCAGGCATGATCAGCTGACAGTAACATTAGGACCAAGTCAGCCCTTACAACACTTCTCCTATTTTTTGCATGAGTAAACAAACCCAACAAAGGCAGCTCCCCATCCGGTATGCTGGTGGTTTCTCATCTTGGTTGTTTCAATTAAATTTCCTGTCTCAACACAAACAGAACTATGCAAATCCAAAAACCAGTCTGCATCTGAGTGAAGTATTTTCCACACAAGAAGCAAGACTCCAGAGCTTGATGCAACTCCAAAACCATAAGCAGATAAATACGATTTCTGTCACCAAACAAACGTTAATTTATTGCTCTTCCTTCCCTTACGACTAATTAAATGTAATCTCATTTCTACTGAGAATGAACTGTTTTAATCCCCTCTGGCTGAGAGCCACACATGCAAATCTGAAGATTGCATAGCAACATTCAATTCTCTCCAGAGATTTCAGTCAAGATCATAATTAGGTGGGCCTCCACTAATGACAAATCCATCCTTTTGGATGCGGAGAAAATCTATGTTACGAGTCTTTTTGGCAACTTTCCTGGCCATCTGGAGCATGGCCAAGAGAACTCTGCTACTCTCTTCATATGCTCTCAAAAACAGAAAACATAAACAGAGGCCAGCAATGTCTAGATTCCAGGGAGGTGTGTGAGACTGTGTACAGGGGGAAACGGAAGCAATTTATGATAAAGCACCTACATTTCCTGCTCTTACAGAAATCTGCAAATGCTTCACACATCTGGAAATGCAATTCTTCTAGCCCAGCTTCTATTCGGGACCAAAATGAGATGTCCTAGTTCCCTGCTCTCTGACTTTGCACTTTCTGGACTTCTAAGTGCCTCCTGCAGTGTTACTCACACGGAGCAGTGATGAAAGGGAAGACACTTCACCAAATCCAGCCGAAGTTCCAAACTCGATAATTAAAAACATTTCAGGGCCAAGGGCGAGAACACTAAAAATGCAAAAAGATCCCACCTGCAATAGCTTCGTAGAGTCCAGCTTTATAATCCAGGTACTCGTGTTCCTCAAATCTCTGTGGTCCCTCACACATGATCTGACAATCTTCATCCTCGGCGTAGTACCCTTTCAACGCGCGCTCCAAAAACTCAATGGCCAGCTCGTACTCCTCCTTGTCGTAGTGCCTCACTCCAGCACTGTAGTCCTCCTGCAGAGTAGGGAGGCAGAACACAAGACCGTGAGCTGGCTACGCTGCCCAGGCCACAGCACCCAACCCTTGCCAACTGCAGATGCTTCTCAAAAGAAGATACAAGCGGGCAAGGACAGAACAACCTCCCCAGAGACCTACCAGATGCAACTGGTTGTACCAAACCATTTTTAAGCCATCAATGGACTTTTGGACCACTGGGACCTCATAAGCCTGCTTAAATGCTCCTTTGAACCCCTCCACACTTAAGGAATCCTCAGTGCCACTGCTAGATTGTACATTATATGAAAAAACACTCCTTTTCTTTGTTTTTACTCTCCTACCAAACAACAACACTGAATGCCAAGGGAAAAGATGAGTCCTGACCTAGGAAGATCTTTCTTATAATGGCCCCTAATGAGCATGTCTATTAATTACACCAGCCAGCCACTCCTGCTTCCTTGAGTCTTGTGAAAGCAGGAAGTTGGGGATGGCCTTGGCATTTGTCTTGGGCTTTTGCTTTGGAGAGATAGAAAAAGCTGACACTCTCCTGCCTGTCACCCTGTACCCTCACCAGCACAGTCACTCATGTGTGTTTACCCTGCCCAGGTGGCAGAATCTAGATCAAAAGAAACACACAGGAGCCAAGATATATCTGTGTCCACAGAGGCATCCATCAAAGCTGTCTGCTGGTGCATGTTCACAGCCATGGGTGACCCCAGAGTTCACTGAAGAGAGGGACCAGGCTGGGGATGATTAAACAAAAAGAAGTGGGCTTGAAAAGGCAGGAGCTGGTTTGTCTGCTTAGGAAAATACTGTAAGGGAGAGTTTATTTTGCTGTATTGTTTGTCCATTAATACAGACCTCAGCAAAAATCTCCCCATTTGTAGATGATCCTCTCTTGGCCTCCTAAATCTCTGCTCTCCAGACTGCCTGATACTTAACCTGTGCACCTCTTTAGCTCAGACTCACCATGTGCTGCCTGGCCTCCCGATCAACCAAGCTGACCTTCCCTGCCGTGGTCTTGTAGTTCTCGATGTCCTGCTGTATCTCCATGTGCTCAGGGTTTGCCATGAAGAAGGTGTGAGCTGCATTTGCTGCCTCCTCCAGCTTGTTCAGCTGTAACAAGGTAAGAAAGACCAAGCGAGGTTGATGATGTAGGAAAGTGAACACAGCAGTTTATGCTGCATCCTCTGACACCCTTTTGACACCACTGGACTGGGCCATGATGGGATAACCAAGGAAAACAGAGGCTAAAGAAAACAGCTGAAGTAAGAGGAAAGCCCAGTGCAAGGGAAATGGGAAGAGCTGGAGTTCTTGAGAGCCATACAGGTCACTGCAACACGGTCTGTTGGGATCCAACCTATATTCCAGCAGCACATCCTCTTAACTCAGCTACTCCAACACCCTCCACAGTCTCAGATGGAAAGATGCTGTCATGAAATATGAGACAGAGAGAGGAGGGGAAAGCAGATGCTGAGGCAATTCTCTCTACAAGCCTTGGAGGCTGAGCTATGTCCAGGCTAAAGGCTTCTGCTTGGAAATGGGGACTTGGGACCATTTATTAAGCTCAGCCATGTATAGCTGCAAAAGGCCAGACTCTGCTGATAGAGGCAGGGGTATAAAGAGGAGTTTATTTTGGTACATCAAGTTACTTTGGATTTAGACATTCAGAACCAAGACAAGACACTAGTTTCACCCTGGAGAAAGTCTCATAAACAAATAGAAATGCTAGTGCTAAACACATCCATAGGAGCTGCTGGGAGCATGGGGAGCAGAACAGATGTACAGGTGAAACATCTGCATGACCCAGCAGGAGAGAAGTCACTAATGCACTTGCTCCTGAAAAAAAGCCAACACCCCTAAGAACAAGTAACCTGCAGTCAGGTCCTCTGGATATGTCTGCAGTCTGACCAGGCTCACCCAAGCTTGTCAGCCAGGACCAGACTAATGCTAGCCCTAGCTAGGCTGTGTCCAAGTGTTCTTCTTGAACAGAGGCCTGCAGTGAAGAATGAGCTTCAAACACCCTGTTATCCTGGGCCTGGAGCAGGGCAGAGAGGCTCCAGGGCAGAGCTGGCCGAAGAAGCACACATGAGTATCTCCAAAAGGAAGATGAAAGCCCTGGTCAGATGGCACCCCAGCCCGCTCCCCAGACCTGCCCTCTGCACATCAAAGCACGGCTGTGCTGCAGTGCCCACAGAAATGCAAAAAATTTGCCTTGTGTAAACTTCAGAAGTTTTGAAGGATTACCTCTGTACTGACAACATATGCAGGGAAGCCAGCTTTTACTGCAAAATCAACATCTATTCCAGTCTCATTTGGAGTTTTCCAAAGGACACCACTCTCCATAATAACCCCTTGGTTTTCCAGCGGCGAAAAAAATGACTGTAAGAAATTTTTATCTGAGACAGCACAAAAAAAATCAAAATTCCTTCAAGTATAGATTTTTTTTTTTTTTTTAAAGAGGCATTCCCACTCAGAAACATGCATCCCATCTTGAAAAAGCTCATCTCAACATAGCTCCACTCTGGAAAAGTTCACTGAAGCTGGACACCATTGGATGTAGGATAAAGGACTGACCAGAGCATCTAACAATGGGAATTTTCAGGTTCTGCTGAGTGTATGTGGGACTGCCACTGCAGCTGGTAATTACTGAGAGCTGAGATGGAGAAAGAAGTTGGCTGGAGACATGAGCTGCTGACCTGATCCAGAGGACTCTAAAGAAGCCACTGTTTGAGCTGCTCAGTACTGCATTCCTCCACACCACACCACAAATTTCTGTTCACAACCAACACCCTGTCTGTGCAGACTTCAAAGAGACCGAATGCATCTCAGCAAGGGAAGTGGTCCCTCGAGAGACACCCTGCAATAGTCTGTTGTGGGATGTTCTTTTTCCCTTCGGTTCCATCTCCTTTTCAGGAAGCTGTCCAAAACTGTCACAGATTTCAAGATGAGCTTAGTTCTTCTGGATAACATTCACCTCTGTGAGAGAGGAAGAGCCTGATTTCTAGGCAACAGAAAATCCCCTTCAAACAAGGCTCACACTGTGTCTAGTCCTGCTGGCTCTTCACAGCAGAGATGACCTTTGGAGTTTGCTAAGTGGACTCAAAGCAGAACATTTCAACTCAACGCTTTTCAATTTATCATGTCCCAAATTTGCCTTAGAAACACTCAAGTAACACAAAGAAGCCAACAGCTGCTAAGTTTGGGGGAGTTTTTAAGTGGTTGAGTGTATATAAAGGCAAATTCCTAACTGGTAAGACACACTCAGAGTCTAGCACTGACATTAGTTATAAAACACTCTGGGGAAACTTTTGCCAAAACACTCTGAATTCACAAGGACCAGGATATTTTGGTGTTTAAAGGTCTGGGCTGGGACTCAGGACACCTGGACTCAGTTCCTGGCCCTGTCACAATCTCACTGTGCACTGGAAAAAAACATTTTTGTTTTCTTTGTGCCTGATTTTCCATTGTTTTAATAAATTGTTTAACAATAAAAATAAACTACTCTGTGGGGGAAATATTATTTTTTTTTTATTTTTGTTTATTTGGATGGCAAGCAACTTGGGGGCCCTAATCATGTGCAAGCACGTAATGCAAGGAGATTTTGATCTTTGTACAACCACTGCTGAATGAAAATCACAAGGAAAAAATGACAGCTGTAGACTCACAACCTCAGTATGTGTTCTAAGGTCTGCTTACTCACCCCCCTGGAATGAGATCACTGGACTATCACTGCAGCTTTGCACCAAACCCTCCGTATTTCAGCCAGAGAAGACACTAGAAATCAGAACATTAGCATGGAGAGAGCCCCAGGACCACTCTGTCCTGTCCATTTTGATCTTAACATGCCAACAGCTAAAACTGAGAAGGGGAAAATGCAACATGTAAATGCTTCTGGGTTCTGATGCTGGAAAATATTTATTTTCCTCACTGAGATGCTAGGAGTGGTTCATTTCACAGAAAAATAGGAAAAATATTTTAAGCAGCAGAATTTTGGATGAAAGAATTTTAGCAAATTGCAAATGCTCACTTTCATTCCCATCTGGGACAGTGCTGGCCTGGACTGTGACTTCCAGCCTGTAGAGGTGGTTTGGATTAGGAAGGCTGCTTTAACCAGAGCATTATACAGGAACAAACACAGGCTGGAGAAAGGACCTTCAGTGAACATTATTAGACAACTAATCCAAATTCTCACTGATAACCACTGAGAAAATCCTTTATGGAGCCTTCCTGGGCTGCATGATGAAACACATAACACAATGTTAACAGATCCTTAATAGTTCTAGTACCAGTCAAGCTAGGTTTAAGCAAATAAACTCCATGCTGAGCAGTCTAATTTTTACCTTAGTGCCACTGTCACCAACCTGCCATGCTTAAAAAATAAACTGTCTCACTGGAACACGACTAACTTGCTTTTAATTTTGCTACCACTTTGGCTGCAGTGTCCCTCAAAAAGAAACACAGAGAATTCACCTCATCTCTAAAGTCTACCTGAAACAGCTCAGAACAGCTCAGCTAAATGTGCAGGGACCTGCTCTGAATTCACACTTGCCGTCACTATTTGCAGACAGTGAATCCTGACCAAAGCCCCTCTCATGCCAGATGCTCAGCAAGCTCTGCATAAACCCCTGACCCCTTCCCCAGGAGACAAGGCCACACAGCAGCACTGCAGCTTCAGCTACAGAGACCCGAAACCTGCAGTCCTTAAATTTGCTCTCCGGTGCTTGGCAGTGGGGATAACAAAGGGGTGCCAGGTCTGTGAGATGAGCATCATGCAGCTTTACAGTCTGCTTGTGCAGCCAGGGCACGGGTTGGCCCTACCACCACCACTTTGCTGACACTGAACACTGACATACGGCAACTTATGGGGGGAAGCAGCTGTAGCCAGAACAACTACAAGTATTCGGCTGCTCCCAGCTCACCCTGAGGCTTTCATGGCAAAAAGAAGGACAAAAGAGATACAAAAGCCAGAAGATTTAAGAGAGAATGTAGCCAAAGCAATATTGATTCTGACTGCCTGAGACAAGGGGTAATGGGTATGATAAAACCAAAACCTCAGACTATTTTTCATAATGAGTTCCCATTGCATTGAACATAATATCAGATATTTGCAGATGTCATGTATCCAATCTGCTTCTATATTAAGGTATCTTCAGCACATTAAACATAGCTTGAATTAATTTATTTATTTTTGGAGAGGAAGAGAAGTAAGGTTTGTACACTGGAAAATATGTCAGATACCTCAAATACCCAGCATTTCTTCCCATGACAGGACTGGACCTACGTGCACATAACCTCAATTAATTGCTAAGTGCATGAGCTTGGCATGGAGCTTGTGAGGAAAAATTTCAAACCATTCAGCTGACCTAGGAAAAAAAAGTCTCAACCCTCCCAGACAGCTCCTGGTTTGCTGAACAGATAATGTTTTTCTAAACTTTTCCACAGCTCCACTGCTGCTGTGTTGTATTGAAGGTTCAGTGCCCTGGGCTCTGCAGAGGAGGGAGGCTCTGGAGTTTGCAATCACAGACAACAAGGGAAATAAAAGGTTCAGTGTCGTGAAGGATTAATCTCGTCGTGTCTATGCAGAGCTTACTGCCTGGGTGAGTAGAAGCAAGCAGCGGTGAGATGGCTATAAATAGCATATGACCTTGTCTCAACTGTTGTATTATTGCAAATAAGATGGAAAAATTCTCCAGAGAAGTTAATCAGGAAATTTTCCCTCTGCTGATGGGATCACACCTTCACAGAATGATGCTTGAGCTGTCTGCAGCCCACCACAGCACCCAATGACCCCACAGAACCACTAAAATCAGAGAGCAAAGTAAACATGTGACAGAAAAGCACCTTAGTCAAGTGTAGGGAATAGGTGCCAAGAGACAAAGATGTGAAGCAGTTCAGTAAGACACCATCCCCTGCTCTCCAAAGTGTTTTCTAGTTTTTCTTCCAACTCCAGATAAACAAGGTTGACTCCCATTGCTGCCACTGCTGTGATGAGAGGCAATAATGATGCATTCCTGGAGGTTCCCCACACACCTTTGCAGAGGTCTTTTTCGTTTTCAAAATGAAGACAACCTTCAGTGTGCTTTGGACAGTTCCTTTAGACCACCCCAGCTCAC